AGTCTGCTCAGGTAAGATGGTTCACTGTAAACCAAGTTCTCAAGAAATATTTCTTAAATACATTAATTAAAACTATAGGATGTAGGTGTAAGGATGGAACATGGTTAAGTGCTACAAGAAATGCTTCAAATTAAAGGATTTCCAGTATTTTTGTCCACACACCAAACTCAGCATGAGGTACATAAGATTGCCTGTTAGTTCAACAGATTCAGTTTGATAGTTGTAATGTCAGAGAGTCAGGGAATTTATTGAGCAGTTCCCAGAAACAGTCTTTTTGCTGAGGTTTATAAAAAAGGGCAAGTTGGTGTAAGATTATTTGTATAAATACAAACTCATGGACATGATGTTACTATATTCTGCCAAGTTCAAATTATGATTTTGCTCCCACTGTGACTAAATAACTGGTCTATTTGTTACCACAGCTGAACTGATTGGTTGTGAGAAATGCCACTACCATGGGACTTGTTACTCACGAGGTGATGAACAGTTGATGTGTGAGTGCTTTCAATGGTATGCCGGAGAAAACTGTCATATCAATCTTAAAGGTAAGATGAAACATTGTAACTGAATGACTAGCAGCTCGTTTAGAAACACAGTTAGGAATAGAGTAGGATGTTAAACTAATTATTAATGGTGAAGTTTGAAAGTATTGTCCTGGAATATGCCAGAATAGATTGCATAAATCCATAAATACCCCAGTCAGAATATCTTGACCTAGATCTGAACCATTCACCTGCAGAGAGATCATCAATCAATTACATTATTTACAGGCTTTTAGAACAGCCTCTTGCACTTGTACGTTAATAAACTTATTACATATTTTGCACAATTTATTTTCCTTCTAATTCTATAAGATTTAAGTATTTCCCTCACAAGCAAGATGTATCTAGATTGTGCAGTAAATGTACTTATATATGCATAACTGGCTAACATGACACATACACATACTTGACAGCATTACATGAATGAATTTAAAACCTGTTGCAGTACTGCTCATTGCACTGGTCACAATTGGGGCAATACTCCTTGGTCTGTTGATTGTGTGTGTGGTACTAACCTGCCTGAAGCGCTCATCACAGCAAGCCTGCAGCACAGGGACAGGATTCTTGAGATATCGCAGCCCCACACACACGCTTGACAAGCGTGCCATGATCCAAGATTCTAGCAGCGAGGGCAGTGCTGCTGACCATGGTCCTGTCTCCTACCTCACACCAACACACCAAGTAAGTACAGAACTATATATTCTAGAACATAAGGCATATTGTGGGAAATTACATGTATTTAATACTTAAATTCCCAAGTATGACACAAAATGAAAACATTCCCAGTTTAAAGAAATTTGCATCACTGAACTGCCACTAAATTGGATAATATGTTATGTCCCATTATGGTTCTTTTGAACGTTTTGAGATTTCAGGTTGTCACAGTGGCAAGTATGAAGATGATTGTCTTCTTGGATGTTGCTCCATGTAGTATGGTACAAGTTTCCTGATATCTCAGAGGTTCTTTCTCCCTCCATCAGGGCAACTTATTACCATGACGATGAAGGCAGCAAGAACCTTTGAAGCACTGGTAAACTTCTACCACACTGCACAGGCCAACATTCCAGAAGAGAGCCATATTAATTTTCATCATTATATTTCTTCCTGTACTACTGAGACACAGCCGATAATATCTATTCTAAAAACAGTTAGCCTATGTATTCCTACATGGTTAAGCAGATTACTTCACCTTCCATTGCAAAGTCAGTCACTCAGATAGATGTGTTTCCACGGCAATCTCACACCTGCAGGTGCACTGATAATTTCAACAAGGATTGTTTTGCTTGCCGACATTTTCATTCACAAATCACGCTAGGGTGATATGGGTCACACATGTGTCATGTATATGGATTATAATAAATGCATATAGTATTTTTATTTGAAAACCTAAAGGGAAGGAAAAGACCACTAGGGATAATAAGTTTACATGGAAGAATTATATTAGAACAGATAATAAAAAAGTAGAATATAAGATGTGAAATGGATGATGATAACTCACAACAGGGTCCAGTAGTGGGCTCTTATGTGTACAGCAATGAACATTTAGGTTGAATAAAAGACAAGGAATATCTTAACCAATTAAGCCACTGCTAGCTTTTCAAGGAGGCCCCACCAACTAAACAACCAACATTGCTTATCATATAGACAGAATATAATGTAATGCTAATAGAATTGCATTTGGTTTAGAGAACAAATTACATAATCAAGGAAAACTTCATCCAGATCACATACATTCAATAGTTATACAGTAAAACAAAAAGTATATTACAATGTTATAGCTTATGATATTACAGCCTGCAAGCACATTTGGATCACAGATGAAGCCGGCTTTAGTACATGCTGGAAGCAGAAAGGTGTCTGGTGCAGCTGAGTTTTCAGATGAAGGAATGACATATTCAGACCAGCGGGATCGCTCACTGACAGTTATGATACCTCGAGCAAAGTACCGACCAATACCACCAACATCTCCTTTACTTGCCATGTCCACATTTGGTGCTGAACAGAAACGAGCAATTGCTCAGGAACAGCAAAAGCTTCTCAACTACTTGGAGACAGGAAAGCAGGTAAAAGATTTTAAGTCTTCATAGTGGTAAAGATTAAGATTGTAATCTTCTGGGTTATGATACCATGTAGTCTTACAGGTGGGTACAAATATTTTCAAGAAATGTGTCACCTCCACATGTTCTTAAGATGGAGATGATGAATACTGGTAACCACCTACAAGACTATGAATGCAGTATCATAACCCAGAAGATTATAGTCCTAAAAATGTTTGTACCATACAGTGACTTCTAACAAAACATTTTCACATATTTCATTACCAATGCAGTATTAAAATAATTTTCATCCTAACAATTTGCAAAGGTTCTAAATTAATTTGGCATAATGCACAGATCTGCTAAGTTTCTCTTTACAGCATTGTAATATCATATTATATTCTTCTTTAGACTGTATCAATTAAAAGTGTCATAGAAACCACAAAAATTACAGTGTTTTCTGAAATACGAGGTATATTTCAAACACAGGACAGATGCATTGGCAGATTTCATGAATAAGTTGTTTCTACTCTTGAAACAAAACTGAATACTTAGCAGCTCTAATAGCAAGAACTGTTCTATTTGACATGTATTCCTTTCTATCTTCATTTCTAGTAAATCACAATAAAATGTAGGATGCATAACTTTTTATGATTATATTCCAACTCCATTTATTTTCATGGGAAAGAAAAGCTGAACAGTAAATACTTGAAACATCTTATCTTTTTCATACACAGGAAAACCGCAATGCTGCCAACAAAAAACGAAAACAAAGTAATTCCACAAATCAAACAAATGAAACAGCTCCACCACCATCTAGGAAATCCTCAGCTCCACGGAAACCCTCCACAGGTAATTGGTAGTGTGCAGTTGGCTCGTTCATAGCAGCTCATGAAGATTTGCAGGCAAAATCTAGTAACCAGCCTAGGTACCAAAGTCAATAAATATATAAAAACCCTATAATAAAATATAATATAAATGATGAAAATAATTTAAATCACATTCACCACTTCCTTTAACAATTACAGGTGAAATTTCAGATAAGATACAGTTTTTTGAGTGGGCAAAGTGAATATAAACTAAATTCTGTATAAACTATGAAATGCTAAGAATACAAGAATGAGATGAAACCTAGAAAACTAATGGAGAACATAGAGTCATCTGATATTTCTATACTGCACATTAGAATGAATGTGCATCTGTGTTGATGAGTACTTCTATTTGTAGGTAAAGTTAATTCTCTGCTAAGACAGACAGTAGTATGTTAAAACATGATTATCTGAAAACAACTCTTAAATAATATTTAGAATTAACACGTAGAGGTTACTGTCATATGTCTATGTTAAAAACCTTGTCCTTAATGGAGTTGAAACCATAAAATCTATTAACTGATGAATAATCCACTGTTAAAAATACAGAACTACAGGAAGTTTCTGCTTGCTATTCCTGCACTTTGGACTCCTGTTATTGAACCTTTACGTTTGGTGGGTATAGTACAAATTAGGGTATTATGACAGTGGTTCCCTTATAAACAAAACAGTATCCCAATTAGTGTACTGTGGTCCATAGCCTATACTGAATAAAATTATTGCCATAAGTTATTGCTATTGTATATAACTGTGTGGGTGCATATATTTGACGTGTTTGCAGTTGGTTGACTGGTACATTCTCTCTTATGAACTTAATTTGGACAACTTAGTTACCTCTTAGACGAACTAATAATTTTCTCTTAGATGAGAGTTTTTGGTTATGTAACATTTTCATTACCTGGTTCATGTTCTTCAGTTTCATTGCACTGTTTCTCACCAAATATGTATTGGTTTCCCACAAGGTAAACTTTTCAACCGACATACTTAAACAGTGAAGTTTTTCAAAACACGCAAACAAATTTACACCCGTTCAGATGTTGGCAACATACATCTTTAGATATTCTGTGATTTAAAGACAAGCTTTAATAGGAATACCAACATTATCAAAAAACCCTAAACATTATTTTGGACATTTGTGCATTATTTGTATAATTAAAAATCTTTACCAGCTCAGTTTACAACGGAATTAATTGAAATTATCCATTTTAGTATAAATACGTGAGCATAGCATTTATAATTTTATTCGATATCAAATAACTCATGCAACAATTATTGGATCTGAATTAATTAAATGTTACTGGGTACAAGAAAATGCAAAGAATATTAAAATGAAAAAGTATATTTTTGACCACTTTTTCGTAAAATCTCCCTTTTAAAAGACAGTTAGTGTCAATACTGACAGACACTGTAATTTAGTTTACTTATTTTATTAAAGATTTATGCAACAAATCCTTATTGTTGATGTTACTGAATATATCTAAAAGCTATTTCCAACAAGTGGGATAAAATTCAGAGAAGAACATTAGATAGCTAACTAGAAATGTAAGGTTAAAGTTCAGTCATCTTTTCAAAAAATGTATGTTACCCCAAATTCAGGGGTAGGAGGGGTATTAGTTTATGTGATGATTGCAACTAAAAGAATAACATACATGATTGATAAACATCCTGTTTGTGTTGGACAGGTGCACTTGTATCAGCTGGATTTGAAGTATCAGCCACTGTGGGCCATAAAGAACCAGGCTCTGACACTGATATGGCATCTGCAGCAATTTTACATGGTAATGGTGGTAAGAGTGGAGACAACAACCATAATACTCTTGCAAGTAATGGCTCTCACTTTACCACACTACGCACTAATGACAGGTAACTGTAAACGCATTATTGCATTCCTATCTTTGAACGTCAAAAGCATTGTAATGTTCCTTTAATGCCTCTCTTGACGTATTTTTCTGATTCTCCTGTGCTGGAGTCATAAGTTTTTTCATTGGTTTCTTTGTTTCCTTTGCAATTTTTCCATCTAGCTTCATGCCTAGTTTCATGGGTCAAACAGTTTTTAAGATGTAATCCTTTGGCAAGAACCATACAACACATTATGTCTTCCTCAAGTAATTACATGTTTTATGAATGGTTCTAATCTTTATTTTAAAATGTGAAATATAAGGGAGTAATAAACAAGACCACTTCTGATGTGAAGCTTTCACAGCGGCTTTCATTAATAAAGTCTTCTCGGGCTATCAGCCGTGTTACATGGTGATTAATCGCCGACATTTCGAGACCATAGCCTGAGAAGACTTTATTAAAGACCCCTTCTCGTTTACTTGTAACTAACTAAATGTAAAAGTGGGTATTCTAACTAGTGAACACACTAATGTGGCATGTGACAAGTTGTAATGGTGAAATATAACTGTTTAATTAAATCTTTCATATTCCCACAAAGTTCTTACTGTTTGAAATGAATCAAATACAACTGTAAAGTGAGCATATAATTGCAACAATTTTCACTCCATGGCTGTAAATTACAGATGAAAATCTAGCTGAAGCTAGCCACATGAAATAAGGCTTCTTATAATCATACTTTTGCTTCTTCATGTTCATTGTTGTTCAAGCATCTCTAACTTCTTCTCACAACTTGTGATTTTTACAGTGAGACAAACATGCCAGAGCTGGTAGCTGAATCAACGACAGATTCACATCTAGATACAAACTCAAGGGTGCAAGAACTGTAAGCGCTCCTTCTTTGTCTGTCCAGCTGTAATATAGTCTTTCTTATAGTTCACTGTCAATCTATGTAAATACTTCAGCACTTCAAATACTTCAAAAATAACATATGAAAGGATTTGCATATTAAAATGAAGACAGAAATGATCATTCTCAACTGTGTTATGAATGAACATAATAAAACAACTTGATTATAATAAAGAGCACAGTTAGCCATGACATTGTCCTTCTTACTCTATCAGCAGCCAATGATATTGGAATGTACTTCTCTGTCACTAAGCTTTACCATATCCACTAACTAACAAACAAAAGGAACATTGTATCAATGTACAGAGTTCCAGTCTCAGAAATAAGATGTATTCTGCAGTCATTTTTGTTAATTTAAACATGCATTGCTATTAGAACACCAAGTCAGTCTTCTTTTTTAACAAGCAATGATTCTCTTCTAAGTTTATTAATATTCAAGAGCTGTTATTTATCCTTCTCCTTTAAAGTTAACTTCTAACAAACTGTTATGGTCTCATATCACTTTTCCTCATTAGGTTATGTAATTATATTAATGTGAGTACCATGGTACCATCCATACTTCAGAATTGTCTGAAAAAAATGCATTATTTCTGCATTAATGTGTTAATACATATCCAAGCAGATATAGTACTTCCCAACAACCCCCATTAGCATAAGCAAATTTCCGTTTTAGTTACAAGGCTCTGTTTACCATTTCCAGCAATGCGTTTTGTATGCAAGAATGGTGTTACCTAGCAAGGTATGATGTCTTGCACTTGCACAGGACTCCACCCTCAGTTACCTTTTTGGTTGGTGTTTAATCATTTTGTCTTGAAGGTGTAGACATCCAGGTACTCTGAAATGTCAGCAAACCAGCCACCCATGTCATGGTCTCATCACCCAAGAATAGGAACAAGATACCATGCCATAAAGGCTTTTTGGAAAGATGGGGTAGTTGGATTATGCAATTTATCTC